CGCGTCTGAAGGTGAGAAATAATTTGTTATAGATACATATATATATAGTGAAATAATGTCCGTAAATGTTTTATACATATGTTCATCTATATATACATACATATCTAGAATCACATGGATATACATAGTTCCAATAAACACGTCTGCAGTGAATGCGGCTTACAACTGAACTCACGGGTAACTTTAAATCGTCATATGCTCGTACATTCAGATATCATGCGCCACAAGTGCGACTATTGTGGTCGGGCATTCAAACGAGCAAAAACACTGAAAAATCATTTAATACTCCATAGTGGCCTGAAACCGTATTCTTGTGACTTTTGTGATAAAACATTTGCTAATGGGCCCAATTGCCGTACTCACAAGAGGAAATCACATCCGGAGGAACTAGCGGTATTAGAGGCTTCAGGAGAGAAAGCTTACACGAAAAATATACCTAAATTATCCGTTTTGAAAACAGTGTAAGTTTAAGATTTAGTTAATGTTTTAAATTAAAAAAAAAACTTGGGGTTAATATATATTTAATTCCTTTCAGAACGAAATCAGCGGAAAATTTGATTCCTGTTGTCTCTAAACAAAGCGGTAATTTTTCATTAGGAAGGAAACCAAATCGCCCATCTGATTTTAATGTAGGAACAAATCAATCAACCGCGACTAAAGCTAACTATTCTATTAAAGAAACGCCATCAAGTAACGAAACATTGTTTCAAGAGAAATCTTAATATAGTGACAGCTATAGGAACAATATTTTCCCAAAAGAAGAACGTGGTTTGTAAAATAAATATTTTTACAAGCTTTTATTTAATGGCGTTTTCGTTTCTACCGAAAAATGTTACCTTCTTATTGCCCTCTCAGCAAAAACACTAAGAACCGGGCAGTGAAAAGGTAATCTATTTTGTAGAAACGAAAACGCCATAACTTGCTATATATATATAGTCGGAATCAAAAGTTTCCACACACCTTGTTCTAATATAATAATACAGATTCCTTTCATGACATTTTCCTCTATCGTTTTTATGATAATATGGTTCATATAACATAACCAAATTAATCGAAGTTTCACACTTTATATGAAACTCGCGGAAATTCAACAAATTTCTCATACAATTTTCAAACTTTTTAATCAGAATTTTCACAAATTCTTCGGGTATATAGTTTTGTAGCCCATTTAATTAATTATTTTTTTTTTGTCGCGGGTGTTCAGCATTTTCTTCCATATAACGCACAAGCAAAATTTTATTTTGTATGGAGGAAAATGTGCTACACAGTTTTCAAAAACAAAAATATCGTACATCAACGGAAATTTTTAGCCACTTGGAAATTGCACTTCATTAAAATTGAATGGATACAAAAAAGTTTCTAAAAATTCCGATTAAAAAGTATGAAAATTTAATGAAAATTTTTGTGAATTTTATATAAAGAAGTACTCGTAATTCAGTTTATTTTTTCAGAATATTCAAAACGTTTTACATCATAAATATTTTTCGTTAATTTTTATTTAAAACATATAAATCAATCTTGCAAACTTTGTACAAAATTCACAAACATTAATTAAATCTGAGCTTGAGGTCGACTTGAATGAACTTTTTTTTTTGGGAAAAACGGCCTCAAGCTCAATAAAATTGTTGAATATAATTGTTATAAGGCCATAAATAACAAAAACAAAAATTAATTAAACTACAAAGAATTTTCATCAAAATTTCAAACTTTTTAATCAGAGTTTTTAGAAACGTTTCCATTCAAATTTACAAAAATTAATTAAACTTAAAAAATTTTCATAAAAATTGGAAACTTTTTAATTAGAATTTATAAAAAAAAAATTTCCGATATGCAGTTTTGTAGCCCGTTCAGTTTCAGTAAGTAAAGTCAAAGTTTCAAGTAGCTAAAGACTGCAGTTTAATTATTTTTTGTCTAGGCTGTAGCGCATTTTCTTCCATATAATACAATTATAGTTTGAAAAACTAAAACCTCCCTATTATAATTGCCATTCTTACTGTCATCAGGTATGTAACTTGAGAATAGAAATCTCTGCATCTTTTAGGCGCATCAATATTACATAGTTACATCCCGAGCTAATAAAAGGAAGGTAAAAATGGATTTTGTTTGTGCGCACTTTATTATACTGAAATTCAAAGCGCTACAAAAGTTTTAAGTTTGATCAAGTTTTGTGAATTTCGTACTAAGTTTGCTAGGTATATGTTTTTTTTTTATATACTGAGCTATATTTTAAATAAAAATTAACGAAAAGGATTTATAACGGAAAACATTTTGAATACTGAGAAAAAAACTTTTGGGTTATGTTTTGGAATGAATATTAGATTAGAACAAGGTGTGTGCTAACTTTTGACTCTGTATACATATATGTAAGCATGTTTGTTTGGGTCAAATCTTGCAATACATTTTTAACCAACTTCCAGATGAGGTAGAGACTTGAAATTTTAAACTTAACTCACAATTTGACAACGAATTGCGTGGAAAAGTTGGAAATATTGCCAAGTCTGACACGCTCTTTAGTCGTTTCGATTACCATGGTTTTACAAATTTTTTAAGGTGCAGTACCACTGAAACTACTAAAAGTGGTTGATTATGAAATTGTTATAATTTTTTTAAATTAAATTCAAATTTACCAAAACAGTTTGTGTTTGGTTTTGGTTTCATTTGCATAAAAATGGCTAAATACTTTATGAGATCGAGCCATATCCCATTAGGATTTAATCTAGGTAAACTTCAAAAACTAAAAACCACTGTCCGTATTAAAAAAATAAAAAGATAACATTGTTTCAATAAGTTCTAAAAACGCCTAAACTAAGTTTTAGGTACAGACAACGGCAAACCTCCGAGTATACTTCTGCCATAAAAAAGCTTCTTCGGAGGTGGAATAAAACATCACAGCATCAAGAAGTAAAACACGAATTGGAGGAGAAGTTCGGCCAAACACGTAGAAAACGTTTAAGCGCCAAATATTCATTTATTGGAATCATATACATACAAAGCTCTACGACGACGGTAAAGCGGTCGGCGGTATGTCAACAGCTGTTTAGTTGCGGCAGTGAAATCCGTCCGAGTAAACAAAATTGCGACGGAAGACGGTTTCAGTCAGCTGTCATTTTGATTTGGAAATTATTAAATTGAAATTTTATTTTCTGTACGTGGTCATATGTTGACTTGCTGGAAACAAAATTGCATGCAAACGTTTGCAAACTTGTGAAAATTATAAAAATCATTACAATCAACCCTCAATCAAGAACGTGTACGCATGTTATTCTGGGTTTTGGTATAACATAGAACATCAAATGTTAATTAAGTCAAAATTGGTAAATTTGCACATTCATGCTTCCAGCATAAGGGAGAGATGATATGATATACTTTTCATTCCCAAATAATCTATTTACGGGTTTCCCTTGAACTTGAAAAAGCATTGAAAGCTTCAAAAAACTCGAAACTTTTATTTAGAGGTCAAGATTAGTATGAAATCAAAAAATTGGATTGTTCGATAAAAATTCCAGTTTATTCGATGTTCGAAAAATCAAGATTTCAAAAAAAAAACCTTTATGGTATCAATGTAAAAAAGTTGCACTAAAACCAATGTTAGTCGTTTCGACAAACACCAAGTTGTTACTCCAAATATATCTCAAGTTACCATGAGCAGCTGAGTAATTAAACGGAAAGAAAAAAGCTGCGATACTAAAAGGGAAAAACGACCCAACAAACATTAAGATTAGGTAACGATTAGAATTCTTATGTGTTTCTCTAAGGTAGAAGTTTAGAAGACGATTAGAGAAACTGTTGAGAATTATAATAATAATAATAGATTGGCGCTTACACATATGAGAGTGTTTGGTCGAGCCCATCCTCCGATTTGTAGCGTGCGCCTTGATGTCACACAAAGGGGAGGCGCCTACAGTTTTACGCCGACTTCGAACGGCGATTGTATTTTTATGAGAAACTGTTTGTCATGGTCGCCATTGCCTGCCGAGGGGCGACCGCTGTTAAGAAAAAAACCTTTTTTCTATATTTTTTGCGATGTTGTTTTGACCAGGACGATAATTTGAATAAATAAGTTTGTTAAATTTAAATATTCTTTAACCTTAATACTTGTTTACTTAATTAATTTAGTTGATTCCAATGATTTGAAAGGTACACAGCTGAAAAAAACTTTCACCCCTATTGCAAGTTTCGGCTAGTATTAGATAAACGAGTATTATTCGATTATCGCTTTTCCATGGTATTGTGAATGTTGATTTCTCGTTGAATAGCTTTTAGTCGCTCATCATCCTTCAACTGTTTATTTGTAGAAGGGGAAGCGCCTATAATTTATTCACACTGACTTATTGAACGAGACAACGACGTTCACAATACCATGGAAAAGCGTAAATCGAATAATAGTCGTTTATCTACTACCAGTCGACACTCGCAAAAGGGGTGCTTATGTAGTAATCGGAATCCAATCGCAACCAGGGCTCGCATCGTAACAGTCGTGAACGAGCAACTCGTCACGTAAAAATGCATATTTCGGATTATAACAGTCGTGAACGTACTGATCGTCTCACGCTCACGCTCGCATTGATCTGTATAGCAGGCTTTAATTCGGCGTTTCCACGATTCGTAATTCGCTCTCTCATTCGTAATTCGCCACGAACTACCTCATTTGTAGGTAATTCAGATCGAAATCGAATTACTAATATGTGCCGTGGAAACAGGGTAATTCACTAATTACTTACTTGCTGTCTCCACAGGCAAACGTTTTTATCTTGATAATGTTATCAGGAAAAATTTTACCAATGGAGACCGCATATTGCTCTTGGCAAGCAATAATTATCAGAGCTTTTATCTTGATAAATATTGCCAGCAATTTGATACTTTGACAGCAATATTTTCATATGCGCGATAACTTCGTAGCGGCAACATTATTGATATATTAATATAAAAGCAAACATTGAGCTGTTTTCCATTAAAATATTTTTTAATATGT